ACCAGCGCATCTTGTGAATGCTGCAACGCGAAGCAGGCATAGTCGAGGGCGCCATCCGACTGCCGAAGCGCAAGGAAAGTGGCTTCTCCCTTGGCGCGAAGGTGTGGATCTGGGTTGGTGAAATCTGTAGACGCCTGATGAATGGATGCGAGCGCTTGCTGCAGGTGCTCGGTGGGGGCTACGAGCGACATCTTTCTAGCAAGAGTAGTGCATTCGCCATTCGGATATCCCCAATGCCGTCTGCTGGAAGTACCGTATAGGATGATGGTGCAATACGGACAGCGATGAGCCAAACGCTCGAGTTTTGAAGAGAGGATAGGAGGTTGATAGCTATGCATGCATCTGGCCAGCTGTACAGTGCTGTATGCAGACACACCTCTCTGAGCTGCATGACGCTGAAGAACTGGCCCCTCGCCTCACTTAGCCCGCAAGCGGGGTCGCTAAACCACCAAAAGTCCACATTTCCACTTTCTTCTCATCACGCCCCCACCTGCACGCCGAGATCCGAGCAAGCTCACTTTTTCATATGGGTGTCAGATCACAGTTGAAAGTGAGAGAAAATTTTAGTGTGCTGAACTGCACCAACCACCGTTCGAGTTTGGCTGATCCGGCTCAGTTTGGGATGAGGAAACATGTAAATTTGCTGTGCCACACTCACAAATCGTCACATTTCCACCACCATCATCACCCTTCCGATCTGCAACGACATCCTATTTTTTTTTCTGGCTATATTATCGTCAACCTTGGCGCTAAGCACAGAGTGGTCTCGTACTGTCAGCGTCGGATCACAATCTCGCCTGAGCCTGGATCGCAATTCACCGTGACTTTTTCCGGGATCGGTGAACGCCTCTAAACACCTCGCTCAATTGAGTGGCTTTCGTCCTTCTCGATCTGGATTTCTGAAGAGTTTCCATATCTGCAATCGCCTCGATTGAGCTCCAATTTGAGGTGCTCGTTGTCACTGTCGTCAAGCTTGGTGACTCTTGAGGGTATCGATCGGAAGAGTCCTGGGTCAAGTCGAGTTCTCTGCGTTCCCGCCACTTCTCACGTCAGCTCGTACAAGTTTCTTATCCTGAGCCATGAATCGGCATCACCCTTACGGAGGCTACGACGACAGGCCTGGAAGAGGCCGCGGAGGTGGTATGGCTGCTTCACGAGGCCGGCCACCCCGTCCAGCTGGAATGAGTCCACCCCCTGGTTCTGCTCCCTCCCCGTACAACCCGGCCGGGGGCTACAATCCTGCAGCTGCATCCTCTGAGTCTCCCTTCTCAACGCCGGCAGCTGACCCGTATGCCGCTTCGAACGAATTTGCGGGAGGCGCCGACCGACAGTATCCCATGGCCGCCGGAGCAATGAGTACGCGTGGCGGCAGAGGCGGATACGCCGGAGCAGCGCCGGCAGATCCTAGGCTCGGCCAGGGCCGCCCACCCACAGCAGGTGTCACCGGTCACCAGCCCATGAGTTCGGTTGAGAGACCACCGTCCGCTCCGTATGGATATGATCCGTCTGGTGGCTTTGAGACTGCAGGTCCAGGCGCTTACCCTACTCAGCCTCCCTTTGGAGCATCGGGTGCTCCGATGGGTCAACCTTCCTACCAAGCCGGCCCTCCCCGGCCGCAGCCAGCCCCGTACGGCAACTACGGTGCTCGTCCTCCTCCCCCGACCGGACCCGCAGGTTACGGGGGACAACCCCACGGTCACCAGTACGGGGGACCTCCTCGCGGTGGTTTTGGCGGTCCACGCCCCCCTGGCCGCTTTGGCGGACGCGGCGGCTTTGGCAGAGGTGCGGGCGGTGGCGGTGGACACGACAAGTTTGGAGACAGCGAGAAGCCGTGCAGGACGCTCTTTGTGCGCAACGTGCAGTTTGAGACTGACTCGAAACAGGTCAAGGAGCAGTTTGAGCAATTTGGCGAGATCAAGACGTTCTTTGACATGGTCAACAAGCGCGGCATCGCATTTATCACCTACTACGACATCCGAGCGGCGAGTGCAGCGATGGACGGCATGAAGGGCGCGCCCTTTGGAGGTCGGCCGATCGACATTCACTACTCGCTGCCAAGGGAGGAAGACAAGGCGCAGCGTTGTGATCGAGAAAAGAACCAGGGAACGCTCTTCACCACGCTCAAGCAACCCACGGAGCCCCTCACTGACGAGATGGTCTACAACGTATTTGGCGAATTTGGCGACATCAAGCTGGTGCGATCCCTGGATCAGCCCAACTCGCGCTTTGTCGAGTACTTTGATAGTCGCGGATGCCAGTTGGCCCACGATCGATTGAATGGCCAGACCTTTATGGGCGGTCAGTGGGATGTCAAGTTTGCATGGGACCTTGTTGCCAATGCGGCGGATTCGCCAGCTCCTGGTGGTCCCGGCGCCATGGCCGCTCGACCACCGCGGCCACCCATTGGCTGGGGGCGTCCCCCTGCACCTCAGCCCCAGGCTGCTGCGCCTCTCTCGGATCGTGCACCGCTACCTGCAGGCTACCCGGGCTTCGAGGAGAGCACGCCAGCAGCTGCGGCGCCAGCATACGGCGGCTATTCCGCAGCACCAACTGGCCCGGCTGCTGCGCATGTCCGTTCACCCGTGCCTCCGACCGGTCCGCCTGCGGACAACGGTTGGGGCAACCGTGCCAGCTCTGCATCCAGCACTAGCGGAGCTGCTGATGTCAAGCTTGCTGCAGGGCAGAAGAGCCCCGACGCCGACCGACTGGAGCAGGCGCAGAAGGTGCAGCAGCTTCTGGCGAGTCTTGGCGCTGCAGCCAAGGGCGGCGCAGCAGCACCGACAGCTCCGGTTGGCAGCACGCCGACGCCTGTGTCCCAGCCAACATCAACGACAACACCTTCTGCAAGTCTCTCGCCGCCGCCGCCGGCTGCTCCCACCCCTGCCCCCGGTCTTCCAGCCAACATTGCGGCTCTGTTGCAGCAGGCCTCGGGCGCTCCGAAACCAGCTCAGCCTCCCAAGCCGCAATCTCCGCCCGGCAGCGGTGGCACGCAGGACAACGGACAGCAATCGATGCATCAGCTACTCAGCATGCTCAGCCAGAACAGATCGCCTCAGCCTCCCCCTTCGTCTTGATTACCGTGGCATATCCGTTGATGTCCATCCTCTCCCTGTCCCTCCATCTCCTTTTTATCCTCTGTTTGCCAGCTCATCTTTGCTTATCTGTACACCAGAATACCACATTTCGAAGTTTTTGAATTCAACACGTTCCCGCAACCATCGCAGACGGGAATGTATAGATCAACTCAATTAGACAAAAAAACAAAGTGAAAAGGAAAGTGTGATGTGTGGGCGAGGACATGGAAGCCGAGTCGATTGCAACACCAATCCGTGCAGATCGCCAGGGCCAGAGAAGTACTCGTGTTGAAGGATCCACTGAACGGCATTGGCCCCCGGAAACGTCTAGGCGCAGTTGATGACGTTGTGCTGATAGTCGACGGTACACTTGTCAGAGCCGTAGAACTGGAGATGGTCAGGGTCGGTGTTTGTGACATGCATGACCTGGTTGGGACCCCAGATCGCGACGCAGTGGTAGCTGGGTCACGAGAAACGGCGTGGTGTAGGCAGAAGGGGTCCAGGGGAAAGGACGGCAGATGATCAATAAACAAGAGGCTCAACATCAGTTTTTTTTTTTTTTTTTTTTTTTTTTTCCATCAAGAACGCTTCGTGCGGGCTATAGCAGAGGATCTGGACTTACTCGGTCTCCTCGAAGTCATGCTTGAAGAGCGAGACGAGCCAGTTGTGTTTGTGGAAGTGCGCATGGGAGGTCGGATCGATCTGACTCTGCTTTGTGTTGTCGACTGACCAGTCACCGTTGACACACGCAACGAAGCGGCTAGAATCACCCAGCTGGTTGCAATAGTCCTTGGCTGCGTCGAGGGCAAAGTCTGCCTTGCTCTCCTGCGTACCGGTGCAAAGATTCCACAGAGAGTTGAGATGAGTCCCGGTATGCCGACGCGAATGCTCATGCGTGTGAAGCTGGACTACTCACCTCGGCAGAGACAGAGACGGCGATCAGCACCATGGCAAGGAAAATGCTAGAGACCCGGCTCTTCATCTTGGTTCTTGAGAGTTGGATAACGAGAGTGTAGGTCCGTCGAGGACTGTAAAGGCAGATGCTTGGAGCGATGGAATGATGCAGGCGGTTTGGTAGACTGACAACGGCATCAGATTGGCTAGGTAGCCCCTTTTTATCCATTTTCTCTGAAGCGCACTCCCTTGAAAGGTCAAGCAACACGCACATCTTTCTCAATGGGTCCATGACAGCCAGTGGCTGCGAAAGATCAAATCGATCCGCCTCACATGCAAACGAAACGCCACATAAGCTGTCAGCTCGTTGGTGGGCGATTTCAATGTGAGGGCCAGCTTTACGCCAGCCTTGGGTGGGTTCTGCTTCCATCCCACAGCCCGATCATGAAGCTAAGAACGTCTTCATTGCCAGCTCACTAAAGGCGTATGTGGGATCATGTGGGACGAGAGGACATCATCGATCAACACATGAACGACATGAACGATATGCCACGGTCTGACCTGATACTGTGCCCAAATTTCACCATGTCGTCTCACGCTGGAGCGTCACGAAAGCCGCTACCGGCATGCTATGACCTTCAAAAGTCCTTGTAAGGAACGCGCATGGCCATGTGAGCAAGTCAAGTGGCTTGTTCGCATCAGGTCAGACAGTGTTTCCCGGCGGCAGACGACATGACGAAATCCAGGTTGTGGTGATAACAACACTGTCGGTGAACGCAGTATGCCGCATAGAATGGCCAATGCAAGTTTAGTGCCCCTATCAAGTCTTGCGGACGATGTTCTGTCACCAAGCGTAAGTGTGCTTGTGCGTATCCTCAATGAAACACGCAAGCCCACATCAAAAATATCCTTATTTCACGGCAAGAGGACAGCCAACACAGCAGAATTTAGCGGATCATTTTTGAAGCCAAAAAAAAAAAAAAAAAAAAAAAAACAGAGACTACCCAAAAATGGAGATCTCGGTTGAGGGTGTGCTCTGACCAGGAATCGAACCTGGAGCCCTCGCGGAAGCGCGCTTGTGAAGCGAATGATTTAACCGTTAATCGATCAGAGCTTCTTGTTGTGTTTAGGCAGCAAAGCATAACACATATATAGCAATGACCAATTAGCAATTTTTTGCAATCAAAAGTAAATCAAGCAGCAATCAAAACATCACTTTGAAGCAACAGACCGGGTAGATCTACCTTCTGGTAAGCCGTCCAGGACCCGCCGTAACACGGGCTACACACTCAAGGACTCAAGTGTTTGCAAATAGGCATTGGTATGACCTAGAAAGTTGGACAAGAATTGCATACAAGAACGAAGAAAGAGAGACCGAGAATACTGCTCGGGACAGACAAGCAGGAAATGGGGACTGCATCTAGTTGATGACGTAGGTGTCTGCGCTGAGGACAGACTGCTGAGAGAAGGTGGCGGGCGCGTTGGTCTCGGAGAGAACAACGTCGGAAACCTGTGGGTTGCAATGCATGGAGAGCAGAGAGAGAGACACAGAGAGACAGAGAGCAATGAAACGATTCTCACAGTCAGTATCATGCCTCGAAAGAGCTGGTCTGGGACCGTCGCAAGGTCGTAATTTGTCAAGAGTATGAGTTGCAACTTACCGAAACCTGGCACAGCGTCTTTTCGCAGACAAAGTCCACGACGACAGGGAAGAAGACATCGACGTTTTCGGCACCTGCAGTGACCGAGAACTCGAGGCTACCCGACTTGTTGGCCGCTGAGATCGACTCGAGGCTCCACTCGAGGTTGTTGGTGTCCGGGTTGACGGCCCAGGATCCATCAGGGCACTCCACCGATGGGTACGCGTCGTCCGGGAGCGGAATCGAAATGACTACATTCTTGAGCTCGCCGATGTCCTCGTTTTCGAGTTCGTACTCGATGTTGACGTCGCAGCCACCCTCCCCGTTGGGCGACGGCCAGCAGTTGATTGAGAGCGGAAGCGCCGTCTCGTCCTTGGTCACCATACGCCATCGCAAGACACCGAGCGACTGGTTGACGGGGAAGGGTCGGCGTGCATCGCGCGGAGCGATGACGCGGTCCGAAGTCCAGGCCGCCTTGTCCACCTGGGGATTTGTCTTGAACTGTAGATCGCCCGCCGACAGAACGAGGCTGTCGGCTGGCGGCGCCACCTGTATGCGCAACTTGGCCATGCTCGGATCGCTGATCTTCAGGAAGAGGTCTCCCTTGATTTCGAGGGAGTCGAGACCGCCGTCACGGTTGCCCGAGATTGAGACGCGCTCCTTGACAACCACGTGGACAGCCTCCTCGTGCACCGGGTCTAGCAAGTCCAGCGGGTCAATTGCGGCAGGTGCAGATGTGGATGGCTTTGGTGCCGGCACCGATGAGGCGACTTCAGCAGGGGCAGCATCGTCTGCAGCAGCAGCGGCCGCCAGATCGCCACCCATGGCTCCCAAGAGATCGGCGCCCTTGGACTTCTTGCCGAGCTGCATTCCCTTGCCCTTGAAAGGCTTTGCAGCTGGCGTGGAGCTTGAAGAAGCGCCAAAGCCGGTCTGGACTGGCGCCTGCGTGGGTGGAGGCTCAAAGCGCTGCTGTACGCCAGTGTAGCCGCCGGACGAGCCAAAGCCGCCGGCACCACCCATCTGTCCCCTCCTGGCGGCGTCTCTGCGCTGCATCTCGAGCTGCTTGGCACGTCGCTTGAGCTCCTCCTTGGCCTCCATCTCCTTGTTGCGCTCGATGATCTCCTGGATCTTTTCCTCGTGCGATTCCATCTCGAGTATAGAGCGCACCTGCGCAATGTTGACATTCTCGCGGTATCCAAGCGATACAATCTCGTCAAAGGCACCGAGCAGTTCAAAGCTGTATCTGAGCACCGTGCTCTCATCCAAGGACCTGCAGATGTCGGAGACAACGCGGGCAAAGAGATGCAAAGTTTCGATGTCCTGGAGAATGTTGGAGTTTTTATTGGTGATGAGAATCATGTAGAGATCTTCGAGGGGCTGATATACGAAGCGAACAGCCTCCGTCTCGACCGATGTGTGCTGAGAGCCTGCAGAGATGAGCTTGGGAAAGGAAGCGAGCAGCCCCTCGATGCGGGAGCGTGGCATGTCGCGGAACTGACGGCTGATGACGGGCTTACCGCCTCGCGTCGAGACTGACGCGGCGAGGATGACCATCGTTGCTGATGCAATAGACAAGTTGAGCTACGCAAACGCTTCGAATAGGCTAACTAGGACTGACTAGGACGAAAAGCGGTGGTCCGGCTAGGCAAGGATGGTGACTGTTGCGAGCTGCCTTTGCTTGCGCGAGGATTCTCTGGTGACGCCAAATGAGGCGAGTGCGCAAATGAGGATGCCAGAGGACGGTGCCGATGATGTGATGTCGATAGATAGGTTGCCGAATACGACTTCGGGGCCCAAGACAGATGGAGTTGAATCGAGCAGAAGTGGTGTTGAACGGATGTTGGAAGCCTCTGCCAGCCAACCGAAAGATGCAACACCGTGTCTCGAAGCGAGAAGGTCCGGTCTTGCCTGGCCACCAGCCGTGTGCGCCAACGCTCACCTGCGTGTACTGTAGTGTGCAGTACAGTCAAATACAGTACAGTACCGTACAGTACAGTACCGTACAGTACAGTACCGTACAGTACAGTACCGTACAGTACAGTACAGTTACTTTGTGCTACTGTACTCCTCTCTGTTGGTTTGAGCGCGGGCCAGCAACAAGACTTCCAACTCAACTGGCGGGCTCCACGTCGCGGCCGCCTGCAGGGCAGACTTGCACTAGAAAGTCTCGTGTCGGCCTCATCCAGAGTCACTCTCAGCTTCCCGCTCTGCAGCCGTGGTCGCGATCGATCCTTGCGATATAACAGTAGTACAATTAGTCGTAGACAAGCATCCGTGCGAGAAGGCGCGTGTCGGCCATGGGCCTGGCTCGGGACCACGACAGAGTCGCAGCGCGAACAGACGATAATGATTACTGTATTTGTCGGCGGCCTGAAGGACTATGCGAGCCAGCAGGGAGAATCCGGCTCACGACTCAGATTTGAAATCAGGCCCTCAGACACGGACTTGGCCCCGCCTCCAACAGCAGCAAAAAAAGAAAAGGAAGGGAGGAAGAAATTGGTCGACTACTGTACTGTAGTAGAATGGCACTCTGGCAGGGGTTGCCCGGTGTTCCCGATCAAGCCTGTTTGTTCGAATTCAACAGGTAGACAGCCTTGCTTGGAATTTTCAACAGCCGTGCTTGGCCCTGGCCCTTGAGAGAAGGATGGCCCGGCCAGGCCAGGATGGATTCTCATCGCAACCCGGCTTGGCCACGAGTCGGATCCATCCAAGCGCTGAGCCGTCTGTCAGCCAGCCTGGTAAAGTCGCTCAGGACGTCACAAATTCTGTGTATGTGTGTGTGATTGAACTCGGATTTGGTGGCAGCAAGGTCTGTGAACCCGCGATACAGTTGTGGTCGCAGCATTAGTACTGTAGCGTAGTGCGTACCGTTCACATTCGTCGATTCTTCTCGTCGCCTCAATCCAGCTTGATCATCACCACTCCACCCATCACCCTTCACCTTGTACATCACCCGAAAAAAGGCGTCTGTCGTCCTTGTCACAGAGCTTCACACACACCATATCTTCACAATGTCGTTCCTCACCGGTGCCATCCGAACCGCTGCCGTCAGCACGTCGGCACGCGCCGCCCTCTTGAGCCGAGCTGCTCCCGTCGCTGCCAAGCAGCAGGTGCGATTCTACGCCGCCCACCACGAGGAGGAGTCGTTCGAGGCCTTCAACTCGCGATACGTCGGCTTCTTTGACGCCGTCGAGGACCTCTTTGAGCTCCAACGTGGCCTCAACAACTGCTTTGCCTACGATCTTGTTCCCTCGCCCGAGGTCATCGAGTCCGCCCTCCGCGCCAGCCGACGTGTCAACGACTATTCGACCGCCGTCCGCATCTTTGAGGGCATCAAGCAGAAGGTCGAGAACAAGAACCAATACAACCAGTACGTCGATGCCCTCAAGGGCGTCCGCGAAGAGCTCGGCATTCAGCTCAAGGAGGAGATGTACGGCGCATAATCGGCAACCACGATCCCAACCCCTCCTCACATATTCCCCATCACCGGACCTTTGATCGCTTTATCTTGCGATATCTTCCGCGCCTCTCACCATTGTCGTAATCCCGCATCAACCACTGCAGCTGCAATATATATCGCTCACAAAGTCAACTTGGATCACCCGCGGGCCAGTGTCGGTCCTGTTTGTTGGAGAAGTGATCACCGTTCTCGAACGTGACACGCGGCTGTGCTCTGGCACCCAACCTTGATGGCTTCTCAGGAGACCACAGTCAGTCACAGTCTTTGTCACGAGCCAGGATGGAGAGGATAGCGTAACAAATGGTCAAGGCGACCGCAGCGACACAAAGCCGCGCTGCCAAAAGTCTTTCGTGTTTGGAAATTCCTGATGCTGGGACAGGATGTTGCGAACCGGTCTAGACAGATGCGCTACTGGAGGTATACGATACAAGGTTGAGAAAATGTGACTGAAGCGCAGTGAGTTGATCTGGAACAGACACTGGAACAGATGTGTGAAAAAGGCAGGGCAGATAAAGCCCAAGGTGGAGGAGTCGGTCCGAGAAGGAGAAGGGGCCTCAGCGCTTCCAGTTGGCGTCACGGTCCTCCTCGTACTCCTCATCACCACCCGTGTTGCTGGCGTCGCCATTGGCATCGGTAGAAGCTGCGCCGACTCCTTCGCCGATGACGTCGCCATCAGCAGAGGCAGTGACGGCAGATGAGCCCGATGAGAAGGGTGCCTGCACCCATGAGAGCTTGACGCTGCCGATCTCGGGGATCTCGGTGCCAGCTCGAAGCGCCTGTTCTCCACTGCTGCGCTGCTTGTAGACGACTGTGAGTTCAGATTTGCCGCCATCCTCGACCGACTCTACCTCGCCGAATTTGGCAAAGTGTTCATGTACTTTTGCCTTGTCCGCATCGGCTGGCAGGTCAGTCACTTGAAGTCGGGTCGTGCGATTGTCCAGTCGCAGACTCCGATTGGCAACAGCAGCTCCCCGACCACGTCCAAACGGCGAGAAGGTACCGCGTCCGCGTGGG